GTTTGCACTGAAGCAGAATAGAACACAAAGGCATGCATTTCTCCTTTCCCACAACTTGCAACTTGTGCACTCATGGGTTCTAGTGTACTACTGGAAGTGCTTTGGAGGTGCTTAGCACAGACCAAGATCCCCCAGGAGCAGTATGGGGCAAGATTATGTTCAATATGACGCTTCTTATAGAAAGACCCAAGGAAACTACATTGCATATAAAGGAAGGGTGTGCTTTTAGTGAAAAATAAATATTTACAATAGAGAAGTGGAGTATTCAACATTGTTAAATCTTCAAACTTGGACTCACAAACAGTAGGATAACCTAACATGATGATGAGCTGTGAACCACAAAATGTCCCCTTAAAGTATTACCAAAATGTTTAACTTGAATATTCATAGAAAGTTAGAGGATAGAGGAACAGGATAAATAACATTACGAGAAAGCAAACAGACAGATTTGGATTATGGGATATTCTATAAGCTTAGTATTTTTAACTTTTCAGAGTCAGTAGCATGGAAAAAACAAGTGGGGTGATTGTTTTACATTAAATTAGAGGAAAGACTCAAAATGAAAAAGAGAGGAAAGTGAGGTAGTGTCAGCAAAATTATGGAGTATGCAACTCTAAGCTTTAGTCCCCCACCTAAGAAACAGGTAAACAACAACAACAACAACAAAAAAAAAAAACCAAACAACTAAACGCACCCAGCCTAAACTGTCAGAACCAGGGAACCATTAGGATGGCTATAATTTTTTTAAAAAGGAAAAAAAAAAACAAGCATTGGTTAGGATGTGGAGAAACATCATACTAAGGGAGACCTAATGTATTGCTGGTAGGAATGTAAAATGATGCAAGTGCTGTGGAAACAGGTAGTATCTCAAAAAATAATCATGATTCACAATAATCAAAAGATAGAAACAATCCAAAGTGTATCAACAGATGAATGGATTCATTTTAGCATATACAATGAAATAATATTCGTTCATAATAATAAAATGGGTGTAGTTCAGTGGTAAGGCACATGCTTTGCATATACCAGGCCCTGTGTTCAATCTCCTGCACCACCACTCCTACCTCAAGGATGAGGGGGAAGCAGAGAAGTTTTCATATATGCTACAACATGAGCGAAGGCTTTAAACATCCTACCAAGTGAAAAAAGCCAGTCATAAAAGGACAAATATTATGATTCCACTTACATGAAATGTGTAGGGCTGGAGTTGTAGCTCAGAAGTAGAGTGCTCGCTTAGCAYGCATGAGGTGCTGAGTTCTGTCCTTAGCACCACATAAAATAAAATATTGTGTCCACCTATTACTGAAAACTAAATAAAAAAGAAATATCTAGAATAGGCAAAAATAATAAGATACATAAATGAGACTAAAAATTTCTAGATATTAGGAAAATGAGAATGAAGAGTTATTGCTGAACGCATGGAGTTCTTGTTTGGTGTGGTGAAAAATTTTTCAAAATACWTAGTGATGATGGTTGCACACACTGTGTCACTGAACTGATGAATTTTAAAACTTAAAGGCTAGTCAGACATTAGTAATAAATATGTTGTTTTTCTAAAGAGAGAGTGCACACAAAAAGATATATAATAGCCACATGCTTTCAAAATAAAAAGTCATAGAAGTTATTCTTAGGACAAGTGGCAGAAATGAAATAGGGATAGGGCATTATATATCATGAAGTTGTTCGTTTCYTTAGGTGTAATAATGGTGGTGTGGTTATTTGTAGAACATCTCATTCTTAGTATATGCATGCTGTAATGTTTAGGAGTGAAGCATTAGAATGTGTATCAGCAAATGATGTCATGCAAAAAAGGTGTGTGTTTGTGGAGAGAGGRAGGAGAGAGGGAAAACAAATGCAGCAAAATATTAGCATGTGTCAAATCTAGGTGGAGGATATGTAATTGTTTATTGTAGTACAGTCTTTTTGTATCTTTAAACATTTTCATAATAATAAAGCTAGAAACAAAAGTAACTCTTTAAAATGCACACTATGATACCTCCCAGAAATACATTTATTATCACATTGGTCCTTTTAGCCATTTTTTTCTTCCTATAGTTAAAAAAAATCCTTTTAAATAATAAAAACAACATAGATAAAACACGTATTGGTATTTGTTTATTCAGTCTATTAAGTCAACACTGTTTATTTAAATATATATTACACAGGCCAGGTACAAAGATGAATATTAAAAGATCTCTTTTGGAGTTTCCCTGAATATACCATAAGAATTTAATGTGCTCCATTTTAAGTCAACTATGGGGTTTAAAAAAACATAAAAGCAGGTACATAACCAAAATTATGAACTTTTAGCAACTGTGTTAGAATCTAGGAACACCCTTATGAAATATCATACAGTTGGTCAAATTTAATAAAGTTCTTGTTGACATTTTTAATTTTTGCTGTTCATTCAAWTATTTATAGTCTACACTGTGCAGTATTAGGCACTGTGACTACAAAAGTGTACAAGACACCATATGTCTACTCCTCTGACCCTCATTTTAATATAGGATCTTAAATGCTTTACGTGTCCTGATAAAAAGGTTACTAATTTACCCACCCATGGATTACAGGAGGGCTTCTTGAAGGAAGTGACATTTAAATTGAGACTTAAAGGATGGATAGGAGTTAGTTACACTCATAATACTGGATAGAGACAAGGTCTGGTGTTAAATTGCTTCGTGATCAGTGATGTTGGGCAAATCGCTTAACCTCTCTGTGCTTCAGAGATCATGTTGTAATAACAGATGCAAGGGCTTAGATCCATGATGGCACATATCACCTAAATTTATTGAGCACGTAGGACTGCTGCTGTAGTATTTAAAAAGAGCTACAACGTGCCAGGCTTGACGATGGAGTTAGAGCAAGAGACAAGACACACACACTCCCTGTCCTAGACATGCCCTCTGCAACTTGTTGTACTAAAATTAACCTCCTTTCCAAATATAAACTGCAGCACAGAAAATGTAAATTGAAACACTTATACTTTTTGTTCTCCCCTGTTTTCTCCTGACTCCACTTGAAAAGGCGTTTCTCCGAGGGTTCCCTGTGAAACTTCGGGGACTACAATAGCGAGAACCGCAGACCTCTGCCACAGACACCCTAACAACCGAAGCCCCGCCCCTTCTGAGCGCATCCGCTAGCATGCATCATCGTGATTGGTTTATCTTCCCAGATCGCCCCCACCTCTGCATCCAATCAGCTTTGTGYTTGTTGAGCGGCGGCAGCAGCTGCAGCAACCGTCATACACAAGGGGCTCCTGCGGCCCGCAGCGAGAGTTGGTCGTCAGGCCATGAACTTGGGGTAAGCGTGAGAAGTGGCCGTCCCCGAAGAAGGGGGAGTCTGGGTTGGCCCTAGGAGTCTTTTGCCGTTCCTCCAGGAATGTCGTCGCCTATAGCGGCAGAGCCCACCTCCTTTAGATAGAGAGGCGCAAAGGGGACCTGTCGGCCTTTACGACCCCGCGGGCCTCACTTCTTCYTTCATAAGTCGACATTGAAACTGTGACCTTGTTTGCAGCCCTTTTATTATTGAGTTCAGGACCTGGAGGGAAGAAGGGGTCTGAGAGAGACAGCTTAGAGCATTCCAGGTAGAATTTCTGGCCCACGCCTCTGGTTCTTTGCGAACCTGTCTTGGAGTCTTGCAGAATATTGGCGTTTCCGGGTTAATGGAAGGCCCGCGGGGCGAGGAATCTTTCAAGGAATTGTCTTGCCATTTCCTGGCACGTAACCGGTGCTCATTGAGGAGTGAGTCGTTAGATAAATTAAAAAGTCTGTATTGTTTTTCATTGCTTGGAAGTTTAATGTTTCAGGAAGATAAAAAGCAAACAATTCCAGAGTTAACTGCATATCGTTAGCAAATGTTATGTTCTAGAATCTTGGGATTTAGAAATAAATCCTGTGAAGGAATTTAAGTACAGTGCAGAACAAATACTTTGCAATTTCATCCACGGTTTTTTTTGTTTGTTTGTTTGTTGTGGTTTAGTTTCATCAACAAACATGAACTGTTCATAACTCTGCAACAGGGAAACGTTTACAACCTATTTCTTCCAGTATTTTGTCTTTAATAAGTAATTTAACTTGATTTTCCCCACATGAACCACATCTCAGATTTTTCATATTCCTAATCATATATCCCAACTTCTGTCTCCTTTGATTGCTGGATTTAATTTTCTCTCTTGAGGAATTCACTTTTGTCCTTGTTAATGTGTATTGGCATTTTTGTTTTGTTTTGTTCTCATAAGACAATAATTAATTGCTGTATGGACTGCATTTTAGATTTCAGTAGATTTTTAAATTTAGGAACTTAATAGATGTACGTGTTTTGTTTGCATTGTCTACTGTTAATGCTCATGATTTTAACATGCTCCATATAAATTATCATAGCAGCCAGAGTTCTTTGCAGATTTATTTTGATAGTACAGAAGAGTCACTGTGCATATGTATTGTTTGAAATATTCAAAATAAAGTGGAATTCCATGCTCAAGCAGTTACTAACCTATGTGGTGGTGTTATAGTCATTTTCAGGTGCTCCAGCACTCCATAGAATGTGTTAAGCATGAGCTTGCTATGAAACTAATAGATGGTAGATCCTTTATCTAGCTAAGGATTTCTGGTAACAACATTATTTTTTCAGTGTAGTTGCTGAATTAATTGTTTACCAATAACAAATTCTTGTATTATTGAGAAATCTCAAAAAATTTCTCTATTTAGTTTTCTTTTGGATTGAAAAATATTTAAAAAAACTACTGGGGGGCTGGGGTTGTGGCTCAGTGGTAGAGCGTGTGCCTTAAACGATTGAGGCACTGGATTCCATCCTTACTACCACATAAAAATAAATGTGTTTTGTCCATCTACAACTTAAAAAGAAAAAGACTAATGGAATTGTACAAGATTTCTATGTAAATTTGTGTACATAGGTTTACTTTCAAGGTTCAAAGGAACATTTCTGGCTATTTAAAATATTTCCATTTCTGAAAAATGACAACTTTTTTTATATTGCAGAGATGGGTTGAAGCTCGAGACTGAATTACTGGATGGAAAAACCAAGCTAATATTATCTCCATATGGTATGCTGTGTTACTAGAAATCTAAAGTGTTAACTTTTAAATTCCTAACTTAAATTTATAGTRGTTTATCAGATTTTTTACTTGTAATAGAATGGTGTTTAAATGATACTTTGAAAGAAGCTGATTGCTTAACTGCTTCAAATTTACTTTTACCCAAGTATAGTCAGATTACATCAGTGCTTACTGCTGTCATTATTCAGATTCATAAAAATTAATGATTAATGTATTTCACATGTAATATTTATGTGTTCTTTGCATGTAGTAAATATTTTTATTGTCTAATGAATAATATAAGTGAAATTTAAGTAATTATATGTGTATTCTTTGCACATAGAAAAGTGTTGCTTGAGAAAATTAAATTTATAGTAAGACTATAGTTACTAAAACTATTTTTAGTACTAGTTTTTAAACTCTGTAATTTGGTCATGTCCTTCACCCCCAATCTGTTTACAGTTTACCATGAAAAGGTAACTAATAGAAATAATTATTTGAATCACATTGTAAGGGTTGGAACACTCAGGTGGGCTTTAAAGTTAATGCTTTTGGGAGWAATATTTCTATCTTAACATCTTAAACACTACTAGTTAAAACTTTCTTTTATAACTGCCTTTGCGTGTTTTTGGTTGATAGTTTAGTAATTTTTTTTTTCTTTTGTAGAACATAAATCAAAATTTTCTGTGAAGGTAAGCTAAATGACTTTGACCTACTTTCAAGTGCAAAATAAAGTTTTCTTTTCAATAGTTTGAAAATAATTCCTGGGAAATGTAAAGTGTTCTTAGTGGTTTGGAATGATGACGTGAAGTTATGAAGTTATTGTCCTCCCCTCAAGTTTAAAAAGTCCAGTAGAACTCTCTTCTATAGATCACTGCTATCCAGTAAAGCTTTCTGCAAAGATGGAAATGTTATAAAATCAGTTCTATCCAATATGGTGGCCACTAACCATGTATAGATTGAGCATTTAAATGTAACTTGTGTAACAGAGGGACTACATTTCTAATTTTATTCAATTTTTAATTAAATTTAGTAGCTACTGCACTAAACAGCCTCATTCCTGAGATATTTAAAAACAGATATTCAGATTTTAAAACAAAATATTTTTTTTCTCATACTCAAATTCCATTTGCCCAGACCAGAAAGAGAACTTGATTCACAAATTCCTACATCTCTTTTATAAGATTACACATGAACTTAATAGTGATCTTTCAAATTACTTTCCTTTACCATGAACCCACTGTTCCTTTTTCTGCAAAATATATACCATTAGAAATTTTCTTTTTTTTTCTATTGCAACTTCTTCCTTGATTTTCCATTTTTAGATAAACATTGGCAGAAATTTCTCCTCTTCCTTAACTTACTGTAGCCTTTTTTTCCTTTATCTTTGCAGTATCTTTTTAAAAAATATTTTTTAGTTATAGATGGACACACTACTATTTATTTTATTTATGTGATACTGAGGATGGAACCCAGTGCCTTACATGTGCGAGACAAGTGCTCTACCACTGACCACTGAGCTTACAACCTCAGCCTTCTTTGCAGTATCTTAAAGCTTTACCTTGTTTGTGGATAGAACCCAGTTTGGACAATATAGGGCTTTTCCTTACAATTCTGAACCCTTTATGGCTTTGTTATTTCTAAGTTTAATCAAGGTGGAGAAGTTTCTTGAGTACTCAGGAGATTAATTATTTGATAAATAGGTGATTCCACAAACTACATATAAATAGTTTTTATATATAGGCATACATTAATCTGCCCCTTATCTATGGTTTCATTTTTTGATGTTTCAGTTATTTGTGGTCATTTGTGTCTGAAAATATTAAATGGAAAATAAACAATCCATAAGTTTTAGAATGTGCACCATTTTGAATAGTGTGATGAAAATCTCACTCTGTCCTTCCTGGGGTATGAATCATCTCTTTGTCCAGCATATCCATGCCCATTTAGTAATTATCATGTTAACTGTTGAGGTATCATGATGCTTATTTAGGGTATTTGGTMTTATCTGCAGTTTCAGGCAGTCTTTGAATGTTTCACCTATGGATAAAGGGGACTACTGTGTAGTATATAGTTATATACTTTGTATACTCCTTTAACCACTGAATACACATTGTCTGTCTCCTGTCTGTTCTCTTATTAAATATTGCAAGTAACTGCTTTTATTTGAGTCAAATTAACAAATTGCCTTTTTCAAGCTTCTAGATATGAAAAGTTACTTGTAATGATTGATTTCTATTTTCCCCAAGCCTATATTCCCTTTTACACATTCTTTTTTCTATTGATATCCTTAACAGGTTTGCTATAGTTGCCACAATTTTAAAGACATTTAGTTGTATTTTTAACCAACTCAGAATATCTGGAGCTCCCCTTTCAAGCCTATAATAAAGTTATTAGTCTTGGACTTTTAGTGGAATCATTACAAAATTCTGTCAGCTGTCTAGGGGCATTTTAGGATTTTTTAAAAATTTTTTTAATGAGTAATGTTCTCAGCTGATGTTAATTTATGTACTGTCTCAAATTGGTTTCCTCCCTGTTGAATTTCAGACTTGAAAATAGACACAACCTAATTCTCCCTTGTATATTGATTTGCTTTCAAGGAGATTCTCTTTCCCATAGTTAGAGAGGTTATAGCTATCCTCTTCCTTCCTGKTTTTGCTCTTCATGGAGACAAACACCAGAATCAGTAGTACTTGTCTTTTGTTTTATTTTTTAAATTTCCCAAGTGTTACAGTTCTACAGATATATGTTGCATTTTCCTTTCTGTAAGTTATTCATGAGTGCTTTCTACATAGCGTTTTTCTTCTACTGAGGTAAACTGAGTGACTATGACACCTACAGTTTTCTGTTTTCCCTATTCCTCATAGGTTGAATTACTGTCATCACCAGTGTGTTCTTTAAACACAGCTGAACTATATCATCATCATCAAGTTTAACACGTGTGGTCAGAGTGCTTTCCTAATTCTAGCAAATTCTCTCCTGCATTTTTCTTTAATCTTCAGTAATGAATATGAAGTAAAGATGGTTACCAGCCTAATTTCTTATGCTTATTGGAAGAGAAATAAAAGAACTAGAAATGATTCAGTGTTGTAAGTAATTTATAAAAATCATGGCCCCTAAAACTCTTACACTTAAAGTACTCTTAAAAATTAGTTGGAATAAGCATGAAAAAGTTTTTTGACCATGTGTGATCATGCACATCTATAGTTTCAGCTACTTGGGAGGCTGAGTTAGGATGATTGCTAGAGCCAAGGAGTTAGAGACCAGTCTAGGCAACATAGACCTCTTCTAAACAAAGAAAAAAATTTTTGTTGATATTTCTATATGTGGGAAATATATATTGAAGGGTGTATAGTACAAAGTAGCACTTTCTAGGTTTTAAAATGCTACTTTTGTTTCCTTGTGCCAGATCCTGACCTCATTATAAATTGTGAAGTCAACCAGTAATAAATGAATGCATTTAATATTGTCTTTATAATATGAAAAATATTGGTGGAATTAAATTAGGCAAAAGCAATATGCTATATAAAAATGTTTTATGACATAAAACTTGTTTGATCAGTTAGAATGTATCTCATCCAGTAAACACTTCTTAAATGACTTTGGCTAGGTTGCTTTTTCTTATTTAGTAACCYACATGTAATTGAATCTTTATTTGGCAGTTCATAATTTTTTGCTACCTCCCTTCATTGTTCCTATCTGGCTGTAGGCTACAAATAGTGTTCATAATTGAGTTTAATGTATGTTGATTACATGCCAGATCATTACTTTTTTTATGCATAAGTATTTTTAGAGGACTTTTTCTGTATATTATTTCTGATGTGACCAGAATGTGGTAAAATAATTCTAGTTAAATTAGTAGATTTCTGTTTAACAAATATTTACTGTAAATTCAAGTATGGATGTAAGACTCCATTCTTAGCTTTATTTGTTCTCAGAAAAAAAAACAAGTCCTTGTGGATTGGATTTGTAGCTTAATGGCAGAGTGCATGTATGAATAGTATTTACCTCTGGGAAATGTAGAACATAAAAGCTTAAGGGACTTACAGTCATTGAAGGGCCTCATTGGATGTTCGAAGACTTCCATGATTTGCATGAAGGAAGCTATTAAAGGATTTTTGATGAGAGGAATAGATGTGATCTTATTTGTGGTTTTAGAACAGGACTTCAGGCATTTCCATGAAGGACAGATAGATTATCATTATCAATTAAGAAGAAGACCAGTTAATTGTCAATTACAGCAGTCCAGGGAGAATTGGATATGGCTCTGAACTTGTAAGGTAGTTAAAAGATGGAAATATAAGACAGAAATGAGAGGATTTTAAAGTATGTTAAGAAAATATGTTTTGTTTAGCAGTTTGAGATAAACTGAAATGCCCAGCTATTACCCAGAAAATGCGCACGTGTGTCAAAAGAAGGGCAAGATCAGTAGAAGCTGTGGTAGAGACTGAGGTGGTATGATTCAGCTGCYCAAGCAGACCACATGTAGACTGCTGATTATTTGATGCATGCAGTGATTTTTTCCCTCCAAAACTAGAATGACTTGCTGGTGCCTAAAAATTGGATAATTTAATGTAAGATCTAGCATTCTTGATTCTTTAGAAATATTGGGTGATCTCACATGTAGACTCAGATTCATGTTTGCCTGTAATAGACAGGTTCTGAGTGTTGGCTCTCTCTTCTAGTGTTCTTCAGTTCTTCTCAGTTCTCATCTAGTCTAATTCATGATAGACATTTGAGTTAGTTATACTAAAATAGCTGCAGAGATAAAAGGGTAAAAATGCATTTTAGATTGATATCAAAACCTGAAGCCAAGAATAAACATGGTGAGGTGAGGTGAGGTGAAGTAGATAATTAAGAGATCTTGTGGCTGATTCAGAAGGTACATTTTGAAAAGTAGGGTGAAATGAGATTAGCTAATTGGTCGGCAAGGTGAGTTTCATGAAATATAAGGAAAAGTTGGATATGAAAACTCTTATGGCATCTCACTCTTTGACAGCAAGGATCTGATCTTATTTTTTATATCACCCACACTTTCCACAGTGGTGAGCACATAAAACACATTTAATTGATTGTCAAATTATTTCAGATTCGTTGGATTTACAGAAATGTACAGTGGATTAAGTGGAGGATAAACTTGAGATAGGTAGAATGTAATCTAGTAGAGATGATAGAATGTAATCTAGTAAAGATGATAAGAATCTGAACACAGGTTTGTCATCATRTAAATGATAAGAAAAAGATACAGTGTTTACTGATAAACTAAATAAGACCCTGAAGGAAGAGAGTCAAAGGTGACTCCATGGTTACTGGCCTGAGATTAGAAAAACAATGCCAAAGAAATGGAATATTTTGGGAAAGAGAACTAATTTATGGGCAAGAGATAAATAATTCAGTGGGGTGAATGGTATAGTTGAAGGTATTCAAGCAAAATTTATTGAATACTTACTCACTTTCACCTGTTCTAGTAACTGGGGTTATAGGAATGAATTAAACAGACAAGTCTCTGCCCTATGGAGTTTACATTAGAAGGGTGTGAGATGGACAGACAGAAGCCAAATATTTCCAGACAAAACAGGTTATGGAGAAAAATAAGCATGATAACCTTACTGGTTTAGCAGCCTTGGGAATAAGTAATATTAGCTGAAAGGGTGGACAGAACAGGCTAGTTTGGTGAGGTGTTACTGAGTGGGTGATATTTGAGCAAAGATCGGATAAAGGTGAGGAAATGAGTTGTGTAGAATCTGTAGGAAGAAGGAAAGGCCTTATTGAGTTCAAGGAACTCAAGATAGAAAATGAGGTCAAATAGCATGGGGGCAAAGAGGCAGGGGAGTAGGGGGTACTCACTTATCATTAGGGCTTGTTTTAGGTCATTGTGAGAAGTTCAACTTTTTTAAAAAAATATTTATTTATTTATTAGTTATTGGCAGACACAACATCTTTGTTTGTATGTGGTGCTGGAGGATCGAACCCAGGCCGCACGCATGCCAGGCAAGAGTGCTACCGCTTGAGCCACATCCCCAGCCCAGAAGTTCAACTTTATTTTTGAGTAAAATGAGAAATCATTGGGGTTTACCTGGGTATTGAACCCAGGGGTGCTTAACCAGTGAGACACATTTCCAGCCCTTTTTTATTTTATTTTTTAAAATTTTGCTACATTGATGAAGGCTTCTCTAAAAGTTGCTGAGGCTGGCTTTGAACTTGTGATCCTCGTGCCTTAGCTTTCTACTGGTGTTACAGGCATGTATGTATCACCATATGCGGCTTTTGGGGGCTCTTGAAGATAGTAACATGATATGACTTACATATTAAGGTAGTCACTGTGGCTCCTGTATTGAAAGTAGATGAAGCACGGGTAAAAACAGGAATACCAGTTTGAAGGCTTTATAGTTATTCAGGTGAGATGTAATGTGTTGGAGCAGAATAACAAGAAGTATGTTGAGGTAGTCAGATTCAGGATATATTTTTGAAGATGCAGCAATATAGTATTGATGACAATTTAAATGTGGTTTATGGTAGAGGAGTTGAGTATGCAAATATAAGTAACAGATGGGGAGAAAGTTAATTCTCCCCATGAGAGTTCAGTTTTGGACATGCTGATTTTTAATGTCTATTAGAAACCCAGGGGAAGTGTTAGATAGGTTATCTAGAACCTGGAATTAAAGACACAAACTTGGAGTCATCAACATAGATAATATTTAGAGTCAGAAAAGTAAATGAAATGACCAGTTAAATGAAGGAACAGGACTGACCAGTGGGCACTTCAACTTTAAGAGGTCTGTGAGAAAAGAAACCAGTAAAGACTAACAAGGAGCAGTGTCGAAAGTCTGAAGAATCAAGATTATAAAGTCCTGGAAATGAAGAAAAGGTTTCAAAACAGAAAGAGTAATCCTCTGCATCAGATAGAGCTCATAGGTCAAGTAAGATGAGGATTTGAGAATAGGTTACTAGACTTAGCAATGTAAAGTTATTAGTGACCTTGAGGAGTTTTGGTGGTATGGTGTGATGTGGGTGAAAGATGGATTGAAATGGGGTTATAGGAGATGAAAGAGAAAATGGGATCAAGAATTTTTTAATTGCTTACTGTAGCTACAGCATGTTTTTATTTTAGTTTTGGAAACGGTCTTGCTAAGTTGCCCAGGCTGGCCTTGAACTTGGAATCCTCCAGTCTCAGCCTCCTGAGTAGCTAGAATTACAGATGGGTGCCACTACGCCTGGCAAGAGTTTTTAAAGATGGTAAAATAATAGCATGTTTGTATGCTATTGTTTGTTGTGATCCAGCAGAAAATAAAAAGTCATGATTCCAAATTAAGAATTGCTAGAGAGAAATACATAAGAAAGAGAGAGGTTATGGAATTATGTACAAGTAATGAGAATAAGTATGAAGATGCTGGGAAAGATTTGGTGATTGAAACTTGCAGTTTTCTTCTGAATACTTCTGTATATTTCCAGTGAAATATTAAACAGAGTCTTCACCTGAGAATGAGGATGGGAAAGAAAGTATTAAGGTTGAATAATTATGAAAAGAGTGAGGAAATTGGGCACAGTGGYGCACACCTGTAGTCCCAGCAGCTCGGAAGGCTGAGGTAGGAGCATYGTGAGTTCAAAGCCAGCCTCAGCAAAGGTGAGGCACTAAGCAACTCAGTAAGACCATGTCTCTAAATTAAATATAAAATAGGGCTGGGGATGTGGCTCAGTGATCAAGTGCCCTTGAGTTCAATCCCTGATACCCCCACACACACCTCCCAAAAAAGAGTAGGGAAATATGACTGCCAGGTACTATTAAGAACTCACTTGATATTCTTGGTTATGAGTTTAAGATGAAACCAGTAAGCATGGCTGTGTTGTTTTTCTCTGCTTATGCAGTCATAGAATAGGTAAAGGATTGGATTTTGTTGGAATTAGGATTTGCTAGATGTGCATGAGAGCAAAGAGTAAAGAGTGGAAGACGGATGATTTGACTTGTGGAATTTAAGATCATTAAAGGGGCTGAGGCTGTAGCTCAAATGGTAGAACACTTGCCTAGCACATGTGAGGCATTGGGTTTGATCGTCAGCATCATATGTAAATAAATAAAGGTATTGTGTTCATCTACACCTAAAAATACTTTAAAATAAAAAGATTGTTAAAGAAGGAAAATAAGAGCAAGAGGGAGGTGGTAAATTATTGATCTTTGCACAGTTAAAGAATTTTTGGAATTGGGATATGCGAAGAAGAGAATTGGAAAAAAAATAGGAGGTGGGAATCCTTATCCAGTACTTAAAATTGAGATATTAGAGGAGTTGCAGTTGTGGATAGTTCCCAGGTTAGTGTCAGAAGGTACTGTGGAAGTGAGTAATGATAATAGCTTAGAGAATAGCAGAATAGGAAGAGTTTGAGGAAATGAAAGGATATAAGAATAATATGAATATGAAAGTACCACTAATTGAGAAAGGATTTGTATTAGAAGGTTGACAGCAAGCTATATAAGGTCAAACAATAAGGGGCTAGTGACCTGTGAGTCTATAGATGGCATGTAAAGAAAAGTAGTATGGGTGGTATGATTTAATGACATGAAATCCAAAGCTGAAGTAGATTGGTGATGTCCTGTAACAAATAAAATAAAAGTTTATCTCTATTCTTCATTATCCAGAATTAATAAGTTTTAGTTATTGATGAAGCTTTCAACTGAAGATTTGCAGTGTTAAAAATTAATTTCTATGGCTTTATTATTTATATAGTGAAATGAAAAGTTTAGAGGATAGGTTTATCACAGATCATATAAATAAAGGTAATTATTGATTTTCCAAAAACCATTAAAAAATAAGCTTCTGGTGTTTTAACAGATGGGAAATAAGACCAAGATTGCAAAATGTCGAACAAAACAAACTGGACACATTATAAAATCACAAAATACTTGTATTGGGAGTGGAAAACTTTTCGAAAAGAAGACAATTGATTCGGGAACCTCACAAGCAAGAGGTGAAAAAAATAGAATGATACTTTCACCCACTAAGGATTTATGTAAGCACTATACAGACAAAGACTGTCTTTGTTCCCCAAAAGGGATTTCATCTACAACCCCCAATATACAGAAGACTAGAAACACCATAGATATATCTCTAGTAGACAAACAGAAGTCTCACAAGAAGCACATCACAGTTGAAAACATGAACAGTGGTTTGATGTGTCTAACACAAGACCAACTACAACATATTTTGATGACTGTAAACCAAGGAAATGGATCTGTTTCCCTGACTGAGAATGGAAAGGAGGAAGAAACAAGTAAGATTTTTTTCCTGATTTTGTGCTATTTTCTTAATATTTGCTTTAGAATTCCACATTCATTGGTTATTATGTAAGTACCTCTTAAATTCAAATGTAACATATACCATCTTAAAATAATTATTCTTTTAGAGGACTTTAATATACAAAATTACTTTGATAATAATGATATGCCATGTTTTAAGGTTAATGCTCAAAATATTATTCATGTGCACTATAGCCTTAAGAAATCTAGTTTCTGTGAACTTCAGAAAAGCTGTTAAATAACAAAAAAAACAAGAAAGACTTGTACTTAATTTAGAATTTCTGAGGCTTTACTTACATTTAAAATAACTATATAAAATAGTTTTAAACAAAACCATCTATGGTATTTCTAGTGAAAACCAAAGGAACTTTGTGAAGATATGACTTGAGTTGTTGCTGAAAAACATTACTTTCCTTGGCCCCTTTATTTGTTCTTCATGTCCCTCATGCTATATAAGGTCAAACAATAAGGGGCTAGTGACCTGTGAGTCTATAGATGGCATATATGTTATGTTAGGGGTTCCTGTACTGTTTTTTAACCAGTATAAAACACAGACTTAAAAGGAGTACTAGAATGTTACATGCCCTGTTTCACAAGTCAGGGTATTGTGTTGTTTTTAAAGCCTTCTAATTTCAACTTTGGGCTAGGAATTATGATTCTGAAACTAATAGAAATACCACTAAAATTTTATTAGGCAATAATGAGATAAATAAAAGTAAAATTGGCTGTCTCCATGGCTAAGACCCCACAACTAGTTTGGAGGCTAGGCAACTCCTGTAGACTACTACGACATTCATGTTGGAGTCATTTACTTTCTCTTGATCATAGGTTATTTGTAAAATAGGGAACCTGATTGTGTCTTTAAGGCTAAAGAACAAAAAGTAGCAACTTAATGGGTATCATAAGACAATATCAACAAAGTTAAAAGCACATTTTTCTCAATTATGTATTGACTTGTCTGTTAGGTATGCTTTCTTTTCACTGGGAGAACTAGCTGGTTCAGGAGGAATTTTTAAGTCAACATATAAGCCCTCCATAAAAATCTTTCGTTATTTGCTATTGTAGCTGGGGTGTAGAGACACTTGTTCTTGAAAAAGTTTTCTGTTGATTTTATAGCTAAATGAGAAGAGTAAGTTCAGAGTAATGAATTTTAATTAATTGCATTTATTCCCTTTTAGGTTATGATTTTATGTTATTTGTGAAAGTATATTGGCAGGAGTAAGCAGAGATTTATTTTTCTTTTATTGTTCACTTGGTTTCCTGTTTGATACAAAAAGTTGTATGTCTTTGGCCACAAACAAGCCATCTAATCTCCGGGCTTCAGTTTCCCTTTTTTTGACAGATACCCACCTCAAAGATTGTTTTGAGAGTTAAATTAGATAACGTATAAGATTGTTTTGTTTTTTAACCATGTAGTACATTGCCAAGATAAGTTATTGCACTAGCTGTAATTTAGTGTTAATTTTAAAACATGCATTTTGACTTCCTAGGTCAGGATAGTCTCCATTTGAACAATATTCCCAATCAGCCAAAGGACAAGAACATTATGGGATTACTCCAAAAATATGAGGCTGTTTCATCTATTCCAGATGAAAATAAATCTGTCTTAAATAAAAATCAGGAGGCACCTAAACAATATGAACAGAAAATTGCCCTGTATGTAACTCATATCTACTACTATGGGATCATCTTGGGAATATGGTTTTGCTTTAATTCCATGTGAAATATTTACTCTGAAGCTATTTAAAAGCTTATTGCTTTATTTTTATGGAGTCAGTCACATAAAAACCTATAATGATAATGTCTCTGGGTTTTTTTGTTTTCTATTACATTAGAGAGAATGAATGGAAACCAGGAGATATATTCAGTACTCTGGGGGAAAGAGAACGTGATAGAAGTTTGTTAGAAGCAAAAAAAGCCCAGTGGAAGAAAGAACTAGGTAATTTTTATACCTTTTATTGTAGTTTTATTGGTCTATGAAATATAGAGTGAAGACTAATTATATCTTTTAGCATATTATCAAAAATCTTGTTTTATAACATTTCATATTTAGAGTATTCTTCTACAAATCCAAATGAAACTGTGATTTCACATGGAAAATCACAGTTGTCTCTTTTCGTTTGGTATACTGTGGTGTGCATCCAAAAGCATTAATGTCACTGGTATCCTTTCACAGTCCTGGTAGCTCAAGAAAGGATTTCTAAATTTTCGTATTTTTTGAGTACAGAAGTCCTATGGATTTAAAATGGTTTTATTTAAAAAATTATTTAACATGTGGATTCAAACCTCAATACCATATAAAAATAAATAAACCAAATAAAGGTATTGTGTCCATATAGAACTAAAAATATTTAAAAAAGGAATAATCAGGGTTGAGGCTATAGCTCAGTGGTAGAGTGCTTGCCTGGCACATGTGAGGCACTGGGTTTGATCCTTRGCACTACATTAAAAAATAAAAAAAAGGCATTTTAAAAAAAAGGAATAATCAGTGATATCAAGCAGTATTCTAGTTAGAAACAAACTTATTGCTGTCAGCCCAAGAATCTAATAACAAAAATTTATAATTCCAATTATGAAATTTTGTTAATTACTAAGAAATACCCATTACTTCTTAGACTTAACTTAGGGTCCAGGTACTACAATTTAGAAAATATGGCTTAACATTTGTACCTCTTGGAAATCTTGGAAATAACTACAATAAAGATATGAGATGAACTACAACATCTACTCAACTGGGAAGTCTTGTGAAACAATTACTGATAGTTAAGTAATTTAGCAAAAAATAAGAAATAGGGAATGAATTGAAGGTTTGGAGGTCTGTGTATTTTATGTCACGATTTCACCTTTAAATGTTTTCAAGCTGGGCATGGGGACACGGACACACACCTGTAATCCCAGCAGCCCAGGAGTTGTGAGGCAGGAAAATTGCAAGTTTCAGACCAGCCTGGGTAACTTAGACCCTGTCTCAAAATAAAGAGGGCTAAGATGTAGTTCAGTGGTAGAGCACCCCTGGATTTAACTCCAAACACCACAGAAATAAATATATAAATAAATTTTTTTCAGCACATTTAACTTATCAAATTACAATACCAAATTTGTGAAATAAGTTATTGTACTAGCTGTAATTTAGTGTTAATTTGGAAATAACTTAAGTATTTCATGCTTAAATATTCTCTTAAATAATTTACTTTTTTTAACCTGATACTGTTAGCAAGGAGAATTTCTCTGTTTTTAAAGTCATGAGAAATAATGACTAACATACTTACTTTGTGCCAGATCCTAAACCAAAATAAGAACTAAGGATTTAGAGATGTTAACAGCAGTTTGCCAATAGTCACGTGACTAGGAAGTGGTTGAGCTTGAAGTTGACTGACAGGTTCCCTGCTTTCAGAGTTCTAGCTTTAAATTTTCAAAGTGATAACTGCATGAATGATATAGGAAAGTAGAACATCATAATAATTAACATCAAATAAGTTATTCTGAAAAAAGTTCCATATTGGTAAATGTGATAATAAAAGCAATATTCTTATCCATTCGTACCATAGTGATTAAAAATTTTATTTCATATCCTTAAAAATTCCTCTCTGCCTTGTGAGTTAATTTCCTACCTAAAAAACAATTTCAATTAAATCTGTGTTAAAATCTGCTCTGCAGTATTTAAGGTCATGATTTGTTTACATGATTTTTTTTTTTACAGTTTTTATACATTTTTTTTTAAAAAAGGACATTATTTACAGATGAACAGGTTGCTTTAAAGAAGAAAGAAAAAGAAGCTTCTGAAAAGTGGAGTAATTCTTGGAAAAAATCTGAAAGTGATAAAATAATGTGGGAAAAACTTCAAATTTTAGATCAATCTAAGGTAAGAATATCAAAATAAAGCATTTTGTTTGATTATCTTAAGACATCTTTATTACAATATTTAAAATGCTAAGCAGTGTTCATATTTTAAAATTTGTTTTTAAAACTCATTAAGGGGCCTGGGGATATAGCTCAGTTGGTGGAGTGCTTGCTTCAACCTRGGTTCAATCCTCAGCACCAAAAAACAAAAACAAAACCACACCACAAAACTCATTTAAGGGAAAAAAACCTTACTTGTTATGTGGTGTTTTATGACAATAGTTTACAAGTTATGACCTGAACTAGTTTCTGTTTGCATTCTGTAAATTATCTTGCTATGTGTTAGTTGGTGAGCATAGAGGCCTTAGGCACCTCCTTTAGGCTCCAATAAAGGAGCACTGCAGTTTTTTTAAACGGCTCAAAAAACTTTAACTATCCATGTGTGATAGCCACTACAAGGTTATCAAATCAGCTCAAAAAAGGTGTTTTCATATCAAAGATGAGTGTATGCCAGATATCCTTCCCATATTGCTTTTATGATCTTTAAATTTTATTTATATTTAATTTTAGATAAATAGTACCCTTGTTTTTCTTATTTCTTTCCATCTGCTGGCTCTTCAAACATGCAGTTAGTTTCCTTGTCAGGTCATGGTGGTCCAGGCTGATTGGGTCCTCACTACTAGACCCTTTAGTGCTTGATTTCAATATAACCAGTTTTCCTTAGAGGAATAATTCTGAATTCTCCTTACTTTTAATTACAGATTAACTTTTATGAGTGTTTTATAATTTAATAAAATTAAATCCTTAATTTACCATTTCTTTTTTACATGTATAATCCCTTCTACCTTATGAACATTTATATTTTTAACAAATGTATTCTGAAAACAATGTAGTAACCTAAAAAGGTTGTTTAGATCGTGGAAATTTTTAGCACTGTGGCCTAATTGGGTAAATGCCTTGTAGATCAGTGTTGACTGGCCTGTTTTGATATATGTTGATAATTTAACATTAGCAAAAAGAAATCTGAATTGCATTTTTCTATTGTCYCAGAAGTTACTTTTGACTCACTGATAGAAATAATTTTGGAAAATCCTATAGTTCTGGGTGATAATTTTAAGTGTGTGAAGTTTTGAAGTTAAATCAGCTTATCCAGATAAAGTACAGGTTGTGCTCAAAATTTGGATTTTAATTTGAAAATCTAAAATTTGATGTTTCAACCTCTAAAACCTTTTGAGTACCATTAAGAAGTCACAAGGGACAATTCTACTCTGATTTCATGTGACAGTCAYAAAATAAAGGTGCACTAAAAAATATCCTATAAAACTACCTTCAGACTATGTATATAAAGTATATATATGACTTAATTTTGTGATTYGGCTTGGGTCCCATCTCTTTAATTTCTCTCATTATGTATATGCAAAATTCCAAAATCTGAAATATTTACGGTAGCATTTCAGATACTCAGTATGTGCCATTAAAAGCAGCAACTAAAAGTTAACTGAAACTTTCCATAAAGTTGACTTATTCACTTATGAAAATATAACATTTTCAGTTACCAAACTTCAGGTTGGAATGTTGACATGTCATTTATTCCTTAATACGTTGCTTTTCTTTTTTTTTTTTTTTTTTTTTTTTGGTACTGGGTAGTAAACCCAGGGGTGCTTAACCACTAAGCCACATCATTTATTTTGGGACGGGATCTCACTAAGTTGCTTAGACTGGCCTCAAACTTGCCATCCCTCTGCCTCAGCCTCCCTAGGATTATGGGTGAGCACCACCACACCTGGCAGTTTGCCCTACACCTGGTCATTTGTTGCCTGTGATTATGAGTCAAAAGTAAATAGGACTAGAAGCACTTTTTTTTCTAACAGTTATCAAGGAATTTAGACAATATAAAATGTTAGGAATTTTATTTTCTACAAATGGCACAGTTAAAATTTTCAGGCATCAGTGGGTATTTATAGAATTTGTTATAATTATAGAATATATAATATAGAATATACAATTATAGAATTTATTAATGCCGCAGTCTGGCTGGGCACAATTCAGGAGCCACTTGTCAAAAGAAACTAACTTTATTTTTAGAACTACACACACCAAACAAAACAGCTCCTCAGGAAAAAACCC